CGGGGGCACCGCCGGGGGACAGACACCCAGCAGGTAACCCCGGCCCGGCTCTCCCTCCCCCTCTGATTTTCTCCCCCCCCTTTCCCGGATGACCCCTTTCCCTGGTTCCGTCTCCCCGTTTTCCCTCGGCTTTGCCTCTATTCCCTGGCTCTCCTTGTTCCATCTGCTCCACTTGGACTTGTAGCCCGCTGGCCGCGCCGCCGCCGTCTCTTGCAGCCCGACTGCGCTCCCCTCGCCCGACAGCCTGTGCGCCCCAGGTCTGCCCGCGGCACCTTTCGGGGCTCCGCCGCGTCTCTCCCTTCCAGGGCCCTGACTTCCCCTCCGATCTACCCCTGGGGCTCCGGGGAAGAAGGGAGTCCCCCGTCTTTGCCTGTCGTCCCCAGTTCCCCCGCTTCCCAACTCTGGCCCCCTTTCTCTTCCTAGCAGTCTCTAGGGGTGGGGAGAGGACCGGAATTGGGGGGGGGGGCTACTGGAGGGGCTAGGGTCAGTATGCCGCTGGGGAAAGGGGCTGTGTGAGCGAGGTGGGGGTGAGGGGCGACTTGAGAGCCAGCGGTCTCTCTGTTGTCCCTTTAAATGGCCCTCACATTTCTGGGGACTCGTGGAGGGGAGATGGCAAGCCGCCTGCCTGGGGGGCAGGGCCCTCGGTTTGTGCACACAGTCAGGGGTGGTAATGATTTAAAGGGACAGCCTCAGTGTGGCCATTGCCACCCTGTGCAGGCGGGAGGGGGAGCCGGCAGGCCGAGTCTGGGGAGGCTGGCAGAGCCTTGGAGGCCGGATCTGTTGCCGAGCCTGCCAGCTGTGGGACGGTGTGGGGGTGTGGGGAGCGGTGACAGCCTGTCTGGGGGGCACTAAGCCTGGACTTTCTCCAGGGCCCCACCTTTGGCTTCACTGACTCCTTGTCTGAGAATCTCTGAGCCTAAACTACTGAGTGTGGCACCCTCCAACCTTGGGCATGTCTGCTGGTCAGCACCTTGGCCTGGGCTCTTAGGAGCTGGCCCTTCAGCTTCCCCTTTTGTTGTTTGGCTCTGTGCACGAGAAAGCCCCAGCCCCTCCCCCAGCTCCCCCATCTCATCCACATACTCCACCCCCCCACCCCAACAATCCACACACCCACCCCAGCTGTTGGGCAGATGAATTACAGCCGCAGGCTCAGGGCCAGGGCTGGTGAGGGATTAAAGCTCTGGGGCCGGTTCTTTAAATGGCTACTAGCCCCTCCCCCACGCTGCTGTCCAGACACCCCACACCCCTCTGGTCCTCCTTGGCTCCCCTCTATTCCTCCTCTTGGTTGTCCTGAGGCCTGCTTATGTCCCTTTTTCTGGGCCAGACCCTCCCTTGCACACCCCTACCCCCCCCCCACAACACACATACACACACACACTCTCAGAACTACATACACATGCTGTAGACTATACACACACCCTGCATGGTCCCACATTCCGAGGGTCCCTGACGATTCAGCTCAAGCTCCTTTCTGCAGCAGAAGGCCTTGTCGGTGTGGTCTCCCAAGTGTGCCACTGACCACCGCCTCTGGCCTGGTGAGGGGCCTTACACGGGTCAGAAATAGCACCTCCCTAGGGGCAGTGTCATCAGCAGCCAGGAAACTTGCAGCACATTGCATCATGGAGGCTGGGGGCCAGAAGCCTGAGCCTTTGGGGCTTGGAGAGGGATGGGGGCTGAGGGCCAGCCCTAGCCTGGGAACCCAAGGGTCTGGGTCTCTCAAGGCAGAGAAGTGTGTAGTTAGGGAGCAGAAAACTTAGGTCCCTGAGGAGTGAGTCTGCGGTAAGGGCAGGCTTGGATCTGACCCTTAGATGGACAGCTGGTTCTTGGCCCTGGACTTGGCTTTAAAGACCTTCTCATACCTGATTGGTCAAAGGGGGTAGGGGGGAAGCCTTAGTCACCTTTTAGGGCCACAAAGAGGAAGAAGGTGATGGGGTAACAGGATATTGCCTTGGGGGATGGGATAGAGGGGAGGCTTGTTACAGAGTCCACTTCTAGGTCCAAGCCCAGAGCCAGAATCCTTGCTAAGGAAGAAGGCTCCTCCTTGCTGGGCCCGTTCATCTTGTCTGGAGACCTGGGTGCTCCCGCCTGGGGGAAGAGGAGAGGGCAGAGTCCAGAGGGTGGGGTGGACTGGCTAGTGTCTTGATAAGGTTGGGAGGAGGCACAGCTGAAGGAAGAAGTATCTGCTTGCCTGGAGCCAGGAATAAGGCTTACTTGGGTACAGATGTCAGGGGCAGCTGAGGCACCTTTGGGGCTGGGAAAGTCTCAGCAGGAGAGCCTCGTGGAAGAGGGTTCTGGACTGTGTGTCCACACTGGGCTCAGGCAACTACCATTGCACGCCCCTCCCCTTACCACCAGGCCTAGGCTCCTTCCTAAAGGGGATGGTTGGAGGACCACTTTGGGCATGGCTTTTCCTGGTTACCATGGAAACAGGTGCTCCCTGCCTGCCTGACCAGGAGCCAGGTTTCTCCTCAATCAGGGGGCAGGGAGCCTAGGAAAATCCTTAAACCTGGAAGACCTCATCTCTTTCTGCCCTTTTTCTTCTAGGTTCCCCCAGGCACCATGCCAGCCCCGTAGCACAGCCAACTCAACCCACCCGGGATCTGCACCCCATCGCTGGGGCACTGGTTCCAATGAGACAGGGGTGCATCAAACCCCAGTTGGTAAGTCCAGCCCTGAGTGATCCCCACCCTCAACAGTCCAACTCAGCACCATGTGCCTGAGGAGTGCTATTTTCTGGACTGTGCCCACTCCTCACAATGGTCCAGTCCAAACTCTTGAGTGTCCCCTGAAGGACTTGAGTAGTTCCGCCTTCTGGTTTATGGTGCACCCCTCTGCCTCCTATGAATGGTACACCCGTGTCCTTCACCAGCCTCTCCACTGCCACCCAAAAAACCTCCTTACTCAGTGCTACAACCGAGTTTCATGTTGAATTATACTAGGCTTTGTAGACTTGTAGCCATGAGATACTTGGAGTAGCCGGAGGACTTCGCTCCTTCCTGTAAGAACTGTTATTAACCTGGTTTATGGAGAGTGATTAGAAGTGGAGCTGGGGAGAGACTGGAGACCTTTGCTATAAGAACTTGTTGCCATGACGGTCTTGCCTCATTACCTTTCTTTCCAGTTCCTTCTGCCCCATCCTCTTGGTATTGCACTGTAGCATTTGTCCCCCATACCTAAAGTCTTATCCCCCAACCCCCCCTTCCTTCCCTGTAATGTCTGAGGCCCTGCACTACCCTTTCCCATCCCTCTGCAGGAGAGAAAGAAAGTGAATGCTTAGGGGGGACTTCAGTTCTTGGAGTGTCTATGCCCCTCGCCCACTACTGACTGAGGCGCTTCAGAATGGGGCCTGTTCCATGTGTTTCTCTCCCTTGGCCATGGTAGTTTGCACGTTGGGGGCCTCAGTGGATTTGTGTTGGATGAATGTGTTGACTCAATGAGTTGCTTTGCCAAAAAACCCAGTTTCTTTAAGCCACATAGTTCCTGCAGGGATGAAGCACCACCGCCTACCCTTACTTTCTCTAGAGGGCAAGGGGTCCTTGGGGGTGGGGTGGGGTGGAAAGATGGGATAGAGGTGAGTGACAGGCTGGCCCAGGAAAACTCGTCAGAATGTCACAGAGGCAGTAGAAAAGTGTGGTAAGAAGGAAGCCCATTTCTTTCACTCACTCGCAGAATGACCTTGGCCAAGTTAATCTAACCTCTCTGAGCCCCAAATTCCTCATTTGTAAAATGGGAGGGGTAAAAGTACCACCTTCATCAGGGTTTAAGGAGCCCCTGGCCCCAGAAAAATAAGAATGTGAGGTGCGTTACACAGTGCCTGACAAGCATAAGTACTCAAGAAGTGCTAGCAGTGATTGTCATAATGAGTAGCTGTGAGGCTAAGCCGAGATGCGGAATGGAACAGAACTTGACTGAAGGCAGACAACAGCCCCACCCCCACGCCCCTACCGAGAATATTTGACTCGCTGAAGGAACACTGAACCAGCAAGAGGGACGTTGAGTTTCAGGGTCAGCCTGCTCTCGGTTTTCCGACTCTGTTCAGGTTCATGCAGGCATTCAGAAGGGGATGTGCAGAGACACACGTGATCATGCAAGTAATGCAAAGGCAGAGCTAGACAAAAGCCGAGGCAGAAGCCAGGCAGACACGCAGGCCCCCGGACTCGTGTAGACAGGGATAATGACAGGAACGTGCCAGACACAGGCACCGGGGCAGACGAGATGAGCAGATACGTGGGTGAATACGGAGCCAGACACCAGGACCCACACACAGCCGACCTTGTCAGACAGAAGGCTGAACACAGCGCCCAGTCAGAGGCAGACACAAGGCCCGCAGTGACACATAGCGGACCACGGCCGCCGGCACTGTCACTCCTCGGTGGGGGGCAGGGGGGGCCCGGTGACGGGGCAAGGCTGGGGAAAGGGAATCCCGGGCGGGCGGTCTGCCCGGGTGGCTGAGTCACCGCGCTCCAGATGAGGGCCTCCCCATCGCCTACCCCCTCGGCCCCCCCGCCCCCAGGTAAGAAGTTGGCCTCCGTGGGGCAGAAGGCAGCCAGGCGGGGGAAGCAAGGCG